AAATAAATCTTTATAGCTTCAAAGGAAATGTATGCTAGTTGCCTGTACTAATCATTCCAATCACTTATTTAGGGATTTGAAGGGAAAACCAAGGGTCATCAGATATTTGAGGAAAACAGAATAAACAAGTCCAAGTTGAATGAAATAGCTGACCCCAAAGGAGCAGAAAATACATAGAATAGAGAAAAACTTAAAAAAAAATCAAATTAGTATCATCAGATTTGACTTCCACCCTCTGCCGAGGATGTAGAAAGGCAGAAAGAACTTCACATCTACCCTAACAACAAGAGAAAATCTGAATAATGTATAAAATCATAACTTTTCTTGCATCTGGAGAATTAAGGTTACAGGGCAGCCAAGTAGTCTGATAGTGTAAGAAAAGATGGGCATGTCCAAAAAGAGACAGGGTGTGAGGACTGAATCACCAGTGGCAGAGCATGGGAGGAAGTTGGGCCACTGTCTAAGAAGGTAAGATAATTCAACTACAATGTTTAACAAATTGCTGGCCACTACGTGTGCTCTATTATAAGACTATAGCAGCTGTAAGGCAGTTCACACCTCCTTGCAGTTTATTCTGTCTGGACCTACACTGGATAGTTACAAGAAAGATTGAAGACAGGGTAGAAAATGTAGAAAGCCTCCCTTGGTGGGGTGGGGGGTGGATGCTGTTGTTAGAAAGTATAACTCTTCTTTAAGAAAAAAAAGCTTTAAGCCTTGGGAGGAAGAGCTGCAAGCCCTACAGCCCCTAGGACAGAAGTCAAGGACTGAAAGAAGAAAAAGAAAACAGCTTTATGATAGGGGGTGGGGCAGAAACAGTGTTGGCCCTGGACTATTGGAAACTTCCTCCCCTAGGAGGTCAAGTGTCACTGAGAGAAAGCCCTACCCTGATACCTAGGGGCACAGCGACTGCTTAGCTCAAACAAGGTAAGAGAGAAATTCTCCTCCCCTCCCCAACCAGGACAGAAAGCATGAATAACAAGCCACCTTCATGTACCACTTGAGGAGCGGCAAGAGCATAGTGAGTCACTCTTAACTAAGGTGCAGGTTCATAGGGCAGAACTTGTTCCCCTAAATCTGAGGGTGGAACAAGTTCATTGAGAAAAAACAGCTAGCAAATCCCCACTCTAAAAAGGAGAAGTTAGGGGCGCCTGGGTGGCTCACTCGGTTGAGCATCCGACTTCAGCTCAGGTCATGATCTCACCGCTGTGGGTTTGAGCCCTGCATCAGGCTCTGTGCTGACAACTCAGAGCCTGAAGCCTGCTTTGGATACTGTGTCTCCCCCTCTATCTGCCCCTCCCATGCTCATGCTCTGTCTCTCTGTTTCTCAATAAATAAATAAAAAATAAAAAGGAGAAGTTAGAGGAAATTTGAAGAATGTGGCACGCTGAAGGTAGCAACAAAATGGAAGCAACAAAACCCAAGCCCAGCTTCGTTCCTGATTGTATTGACTCAGCCCCCAAATTAACAGTAGAAGAGGCATGTCCTTTTCTTTCTCTGTTGTCCCATGCTCTCTGTTGCACATGATGCTGAGCATTCAATCAACATTTTTGAAACAAAGAAAAGCAAAAACAAAGCAAAAACGCATTGTTATCCCTTCTCTTCCCACCAACACCAACAAAATGTTGTCAAGAAAAGAAGTTAACTCAAAAGAAGAAAAAACTCAGCAATGACTCAGATGTTGGGAATATCAGAGAGAAAATTTAAAATAACTATAATTAATGGGCTTCAGGCTTTTGTAGAAAGGTGGATAACAAGCATGAATAGATGGTAAATTTCAGCTGAGAGATGGAAACTCTAAGAAACAGTCTAATGGAAAGCTATAAATAAAGAACATGGTAAGAGAGATGAAGAATGCCATTGACAGACTCTCCAGTAGATTTGACACAACTGAGAAAAGAATGAGCGAATTTGAATATAGATCAATACAAATTACCTAAACTGGCATGCAAAGAGATTCTTTGACACAAAACTAAGACAGTTCATTACCACCAGTCCTACATTTTAGGAAATGTTAAAAGAATTTCTTCTGTGGAAGGAAAATGATACCAGACAGAAACTTGGCTCTACACACAAAAAATGAGAGCTCTAGAAATGGTTGAAAATATTATATATGAAGACATTTTTCCATATTTTTAGCTACTATAAAAGATAGTTTATTTTCTAATGCAAAAATAGCAGTGTTTTGGGGTTTATAATAGTCATAAAGTAAAATGTGTGAAGAATTTGAAGAGTGGGGAAAGGAAGAATTGGGAGTATAATATTTTCAGGATTTTATACTCTACATGAAGTAGTATAATAATATTTGAAGGTAGACTTATTTATTGAAGTTATACACCGTAAATTCTGGGGCAACCACTACAAATTTTAAATGGAGATAAGACTAAGCCAATAGTGAAGAAAGAATTATAAAAAATACTCAGTCCAAAAGCATAAAAAAAGAGGGATAAAAGAACAAAGAATAGGTAGAATATAGAGGAAATAATAGCCAAATGGTATATTTTAATCTAAATGTCAGTGATTATACTAAGTATAAGCAATCAAAATACCTCACTTAAAAAATGGGGATTGTTCAGATTAATTTACATTTAAAAAACCTAACTAAATGCTATCTGTAAGAAACCCACTTTTAATATAAGGGTAGATAGATTGATTGAAGGTAAAAGAATGGAAATAGTACACCATGCAGATACAAATGAAAAGAAGGCCAGAGTGGCTACATTATATTAGAAAAGGAGATTTCAGAACAGTGAATATTACCTGTGATAAAGACAGATTTTTACATTATAGTAGAGAGGTCAACAAAAAGATGTGACAATTCTAACTATGTATGAACATAATAGAGCTTCACTATTTGTGTGTGTGTATGTATATATACATGTTAATATATATATAGTATATATATACACACACACACACACACAGATACATATATCTGTATGAGTCTGTGTGTGTGTGTGTGTATTTATAGTAAAAGCTGATAAAATTGGAAGAATAAATAGCCAAATCTGTAATTAAAACTGGAAACTGCAACACTCATCTCTCAGTAATTCATAGAACAAGTGGAGAGACAATCAGTAAGGATAAAGACCTTAACGCTATTAACTAACTTGCCCTGATTAGCAACAGACCACCCTACTGCACACCATCAGAATATACCTTTTATTTTCATGTGCACATGGAACATTCCATTAGGCCATAGTTGCTATCATAAAACAAATAAAAAAAGAATCAGAATAATGTAAAGTATGGTCTCTGACTAAAAGAAATAAACTAGAAATCACTAATAAATAAATCTGGAAATTTTCAAATATTTGGTTCAACACATACCTGGGGTGGGGGGTGGAGGTTGTCAATCTGAATATCATCTGTAATCATTGAGAATTAAGGTTTCGGTAGGAATTGTACTGGGACTAAAGGAGATGAGTGGTGTTCCTTGATTATGTTCTATTTTGGGGGGGAAAGTTACCAACCTATTGATCATTTAAGTACAGGTGTGAGAGAAGAAAAGGATACTTAGAACTATGTTGATAAAATAACTTTGGTTGGTGAATTTTGTCCTAAGGTCTAAACTGTATTATGTTCGATAATGTACACTGCATGCTCCTTCCTGCAGGAGAGGTGCAGAATTGTTGAAGGCCCCTTTTCCTGTTGGATCGTAGTTCATGAAACTAAACCCCTTTGTAAGATCTAGAGATTAGTATGTCTGGATCTAAGGTTGTTTTTCTCTGCTTCAGTATTTCTGGTGCTATCGCGTCCGGATTGTCAAGAACAGAAGATGCTCTCATTTCTTAGAGTAGGAAGATGTAAAAGGATTTTATGAACACATAAATGGAAATGGAGGTTCCAGAACTTGATATAAATAACACAATCAGGCATATAAACACAAATACTAATCTCTGCGTAATGCTAAAGCAAACACTTAAAGGAAATTAAATGTTCTGTAATGGGATTGGGGTTTGGGGTATCAGTTAAAATGTGGAATATTCATATAATTCACATCCACGGAGTTGAATTTTACACAGCCATTAAACATTATAACTTAGACTATCTGTCAACATGTAAAAATGCTTATGACATAATATGGAAAAATCAGAATATACATTTCCTGCACACTGATTGTAGCTAAAACTACTTATATTTATGAACTATACTATAGTAGTCAAAATGCAGGTAATTTTTCCTTTTCTACTTTTTATACTTTCAGAAATGTATAGCATTTGTGGGTGAGAAGAAATTAACCACTTTAAAAAATAATAAACGTCATTTATTAGAGCAGTTTTTAGAGTCATAGCAGAACTTAGCTGAAGTTGCAGAGATTTCCCATATACCCCCAACTCTCACACGTGCATAGCCTCCCCCAGTCTAAGCGTCCCCCTCCAGAGAGGTCTGGGTATTACAGCCGATAGACCTTTAGTGAATAAGCATTAACACCAGAGGCCATGGCCACTTTCCTTTTATTTATTTATTTATTATTTAATTTTTAAAAGTTTATTTATTTTTGAAGGAGAAAGAGAGAGAAAGAGAGCAAGGGAAGGGCAGAGAGAGAAGGAGACACAGAACCAAAGCAGGCTCCAGGCTCTGAGCTGTCAGCACAGAGCCCAATGCGGGGCTTGAACCCATGATCTGTGAGATCATGACCTGAGCCGAAGTCAGATGCTCAACCGACTGAGCCACCCAGGCGCCCCGCCACTTTCCTTTTAAAATGAAGTTGTGTGAATTTTGAAATCTCATCAGCGTTTCTTGGTCAGCAATCCAGAAATCTGGAGGCAGAGACTCTTACTCTTTGACTCCTGCCAGAGAATGGACTTGTGTCAAAATTGAACAAGTAGAGAAGTTTTTTCTAGTTAATCCCCCCAGAAGACCTCTCTCCCCAGTTTACTTTGCCTCCAAACTCTATTGCTGTCTCGTAGTTGGGGGATTGGCTCTGCCTGTTTGGTTGTGATTGAGCAGTTCTGTCTGCAGTGTTATATCTGGAATTGTCTCCCTTCATCTCTCTCTAGGAAGTGCATTTTCAACTGAGCACCTCAAGCTTCAACTCCAGAAGGAATCCCTGAATGAACTGAGGAAGGAGTGTACTGCGAAAAGGTAAATGCAACACTGAGAATAATGGTTCAGAGTGTTGAGCTTACTTTGAGGATAGGCTTTAGAAAAGCAGCATTCTTTAAAAGCTGCTGATGTTAATTTATACTCCACACACATCAGTGCCACATTCATTTATTCAACAAATATTTATGAGGCACCTACTGAGCATCATATACATGCTAAAAGTAGTTACCAGAGCTCCTATCATATAGTCATAATAAAAAACGTGAACGTTGATTTTCTAGTGCATATTTTACTTATCTAGTGCATGTTTATTTTTTAGAGAGAGAGAGAGAGAGAGAACATGAGCAGGGGAGGAGCAGAGAGAAAGAGAGGGAGAGAATCCCAAACAGGTTCTGTGCTTTCAGAACGGATCCTCCACATGGGGCTTGAACTCATGAACCGTGAGATCATGCATGACCTGAGCTGCAATCAGGAGTCAGATGCTTAACTGACTGAGCCACCCAGATGTCACTATTCTTCTAGTTTTTAAGGGCACAGCACCATGACTTAATGTTTGAATCTACTCCTCTTCCTGTCTTCCACATGTAGTATAGCTTAAGGTTTTTCTTTGGTCATTTCTTTAGACTTACTGGTGCTTGGTGTTTGTCCATTTGGATTACCTCCACAGCTCCTAGTTTGTCTTTCTAGCATCAGTCTCTCCGTTTTTCCAGTTCATCCTCCATGTTGTTTATGAGACCTCTCCTCTTAAAATACTATTTTTACCATATTTTTTCTCCTTTTAAGAAATCATGGTGATTGTTTTGCTTAACTTTCAAATAACCTTCAACAGATTGACGGTATACAACTGTAGTTCATTTCAGTTGCTCCACAACATTCATTTCACAGGTGCTAATAGTTTTTCTCTTTATTTTTTTCCAGCACATGCTTAATTTGATGCCACCTCTGTTCTTTTGCTCATGTTTACTCACTTTTTCTGGAAAGTCATCTCATCCTACATTTTTCTTCAAGAAACCTTAGCAGTTGAGCATTCAAGAATGTTAGACCTGGAAAGAACCGTGGAGATCATCTGGTCTAATCCTCTCAATTTGCAGATAGGAAGGCAAGGCTCTGGGAAGTTATATTGACCAGCTCACCAGGAAAGCAGGACTAGATCCCTTTAAGTCTTTAATGCTCTTTGTGTTATACTACTACCTTTACATTCTACTTTGACCTGCAGTTTTGCTGAATTTCTCTTTTTATTTTTTAATTCGTTAGCACAATTGAGCAGGTAATCTATTCTATAGGTATTTTATCTCATGGTCTTATTTCTTTAGTTCAGGAGAAGAGCTGTATCATCTCATGCCACAGCTTATTGTTTGTTCCTTTTATTGTATTATTTTCCTAGTATGTCAGAAACTTATTTTTTGAGGTAGCTATGAGTGAAAAATAGAATACTTTTTAAAGAGAACACCATAAAGACATTTTCTTTATGGTGAAATCAGATTGGCGCTGGATTAAATGAGACCTTGGTCGTCTTACTGAGCCTCTCTAAATTTTGTATCCTTGTTTGTAAAATGGGTATAATAATATGAACCTAATAGAATTATTCTAATAGTTAAATAAAGCTATTTGTGAAGCTCTTGGCATATAGTGGTAGGTGCACGGTCAATGATTATTTGTACCCTTTCCGTCTCTTAGCATGGTGCCTGACACACACAGTAGGCCTTAGTATACAGTTATCTTGATTTTATACTATTTACAGATAGGTCAGGATTCATGTTAGCTATTATTCTTGACTCTACTTCTGAGTTTCTGGGCCTACTTCAGGCCATTTAATCTTCCTCTGCATCAGTTTTGTGGAGATAAATATTAGAAAGCATGAAAACATTTTTTTAACGAATATGCTTTTTATCTTTCCTTATCAGAGAACTCTTTCTGAAGACTAATGCTCAGTTGACAATTCGTTGCAGGCAATTACTGTCTGAGCTTTCCTACATTTACCCTATTGATTTGGTAAGTTTCAAATTTTCTGGAAAAAAAAATTAAGATGGTTTTTGATTGAAATTTCCTCTTAATGAAAAAATTCATTGTTCTAGTCTTAATCATATACTTTGTCGTGAATCATTCAGAAGCTAATATCTAGTTTAAAAATAGATTTAGATGAGTTGGCATTCAGTTCCACCATTTGATTTTTTATATCAATTTGGTGTTGGAATGCATGCATCTTCTGAAAGAATGCCAAATAATTTCTGGTTTCCTCAGGATCTTTTTTACTGAGCCAGATTATCAACTGAGAATTCTTTCTTTCTTTCTTTCTTTCTTTCTTTCTTTCTTTCTTTCTTTCTTTCTTTCTTTCTTTCTTTCTTTCTTATGTTTATTTATTTATTTTGAGAGAGAGAGATTGAGAGCATGAGGCAGGGTAGAGCAGAGAGAAAAGGAGAGAGAGAATCCCAAGTAGCTCTATGCTATCGGCACACAGCCATTGACACAGGGCTCAATCCTACTAACCATGAGATTGTGACCTGAGCCGAAATCATGAGTCAGATGCTTAATGGAATGTGCCCCCCCAGGGCCCCACATTTCTGACACATACATGCAGATGCATTTGTATTGCTTTAAAAATATACCTGGTAATAAGAGCACTGAGTGTTATGTAGAAACTAATTTGACAATAAACTATTTGTAAAAAAAAAAAAAAATATACCTGGTAATTAATTTGCATTTGTTAGTACTACTTAGGAAATTCCTGGGGTGACTGTTAGGAGGTTATGTTTTTTAATCCAGTTCTTTAGAGTAAATGTAAAAAGGAAAACTTCAATAAAATTAGAAAGATGAGAATTCTTTTTTAAAGAGCCAAATTGCTAAATTTGATGGTTTTATTTTCTTTGTAATGAAAAGAAATTTAAAAGACTCATTTTCTGAGAGGAAAGCTAATAGAATTTTGGGTTGCTTACAGAATCTTGTTAATTCCATTTGAAAATCTTCATTTAAAACTATGGATTGGTGAGGAGATATTTTTGTTGTAAAAAAAAATTTTACGTGGCTTTTTGCTTGGACATGATGTTTTAAATGTTTATATTATAGAAAATATAGATGATAGTATAATGAATCATTATGTACTCATCATCCAGCTTCAACAATTATGATAATACTTTGTGTCTAGGACAGTATTTTAACACTGACCTGCTGAATTCTCTGAGATTTAACTTAGGGTTTCTTTGCTTTAAACAGAAAAAGAATTAATTTCATTCTTTGGTTGTATTCACAGAATGAGCATAAGGATTACTTTGTATGTGGTGTCAAGTTGCCCAATTCTGAGGACTTCCAAGGTATTTTAGTTCTTTTTACATCTAAAGATTTGGTGTATATAATGTATGGGTATGTTTCAGAGGAAAACAAATATCTTGAAGTGTTGGTTGCCTAGCAGAGGGTTTTTGGACCTTCTACCTCTTCCCAAATGGAAGTACCTAGAGACGGATTCTCTAATGGGAGACTTAAGAGAATATTTAGTTCTAATCATGGGGGAAAAAATTGAGTTGTATATTTGAAATTGAAAAGAAATATATTTCAAGTTGTATATTCAAAGTTGTATATTTGAATTTTGAAATATATTCAAAGTTGTATATTTGAATTTGAAAAGAAAATAGTTTAAGAATAACAAATAGTTGGGGCGCCTGGGTGGCTTAGTCGGTTAAGCGTCCGACTTTCGCTTAGGTCATGATCTCGCGGTTCGTGGCTTCGAGCCCCGCGTCGGGCTCTGTGCTGACTGCCAGCTCAGAGCCTGGAGCCTGTTTCAGTCTGTGACTCCCTCTCTCCTTGATCCTCCCCTGCTCACGCTGTCTCTCTCTCTCCTAGAAATAAATAAAACATTAAAAAAAAATTAAAAAAAAAAAAGAATAACAAATAGTTAAAAATAACAAATAACCTCTCTATCCTTTTGGTTTGATTTTTATGAAATTTTTGTATGTGGTTGGGAGCAGAAGAACAACCAACATTTATCTGTTCTATTGTTATGTAGAAAGTCATATGTCTCGTAATGTGAAAAGTCTTTGAAAATTTAATTTTGTGACATTGCCACTACCACAGGCTCGACTTTTATACTGTCATTTCTGTCCTCTTTGAACTAAGAAAAAGTTACATTAGAAACATTATAGACTATGATTCATAGTAATTGCTATATTTTAAAGTATTTTAATTTTCCTAATCTCTTTAGCAGTAAGCCAAGAAAAAAGAACTTCTCTTATTTGAAATTCGGTAGATTTTTTTTTTTATTGTTAGCAAAGTGGGTTCTTTTCCCCTAGCCTATGCAGTGCTTTGAGGCCTATTAAATAGCTTTATAGATTATTCCCAAAGGTAGCATATTATGTATATGGGAAGAAGTTATTCAAGAAGACAGAATTACAAGTTTTGTTTGGGACCTTCCTCCATTTCCTGATAAAGTGTTGTTATTTGTGATCTTTTAACATTTAAGACTGATTTATTACCTATTTTGTCCTTTGCAACAACCCGTACAGCAAGTAGTTGGGACATGATATGAGTGATAAAATAGGAATGGGAAAACCTGTGTTAAAGTCCTGGTTTCCCTTCTAGAAACCATGTAATTTGGAGCAGACCATCTTAGTTTTGACTTGATTTCCTAATCGATACTATGAACATATTGATTCATGTCCTTACGTGTTTTATATTATTGTTGAGAAGTTTGATCTGTAAAAGCATGACATTTGCCTTATCTTTAATCCTCACAAAACAGAAGAAACCTATAAAGAAAGTAGCATAATCTCATAGCATGTAAATGAGCTATTTATTTAGCTAGTGACTTGCTCAAGACCACAAAGCTAGGTAATGATCTAGCTCGGATTTGTCTGGTTTCCATTGCAAAATGTTCCTTTTAATCTCCATAAGTCATACAGATGTGTTTTGGTGTTAATTTTAGGCAAAGTTATGGTGTCCTGAAGGCCATAACACAACTTTTTCCTCATTTGTTCATTCATTCAACAAACCTCTTGAGTACCTTGAGCCTTGTGCCAGGTTCCGGGGATACAGAACATTCACTCTTTGGGAAAAGTACTAATTAAGCACACCTATATGCCAGGCACTGTGCTGGGCTTTGAGGATATAATGATAGAAGAAACAAGTATGTTCTGTCCTTTCATGGAATGTACAACCTTTTGAGGGAGAGAGCCAATAAATAAGAAAATAAATAACAAGTATTTAATAAAAGAATATGCTATTATAGACAATAGGGGAACCTACTTTAGATAAAGCGGTTAGAGAAGACCTTTCTGAGGAAAAACATTTAACAGAAAATTTGAAGGCCGAAAGAATCCAACTCTGCCACGTCGGGGGGAAGAGCTTTCCTCGAAGAGGGGGCAGCAAGTACATAGTTCATGATGGAGGAATGAACTTGATATATCTGAAAAAAAAATTCAGGGTAGGGAGTATGGGAAAAAAGACCTGTATTTGGGGCACATCATATAATCTCTCAGCTTAATTTCTTTACCTGTAAAGGTAATATCTACACTCTCATTTATTGTGATGACTGAATAAGATGCCATTTGAAAGAGCTTTTCATATAAGGTACTCCTATAAATGTAATTGTAATTGGTTGTGAGAGAGAGGAGGGGAAGGAAAGAAAGTAGGGGGGGAAAGAAGGAAAGACAGAAAAGACCAGACCTGTGTGACTGGAGAGTAGTGAGCAGGAGGAAGAGTTACATCGGAGGAGGTAGGAGAAGTCAGCCAAGGCCTAGAGGCCACCAGAAGTAGTTTGCTTTATTCTCGGTAGAGTGGGAAAACCCTGAAGGGCTCTAAGAAGGCGGATGACAAGAGCCGGTGATGTAATCAGTTCTCGATTCTATTTTTGTTTTCTATAAAGTATTTTGTTTCCTAGTTTTTCCACAGCTTTTGTTAGCTCTCTCTTCTTAGCATGTCCAACAAGCTGAATATATTTTTCCTAGCCTTTAAGTAATTAGTTTAGCTTTTTAGTGCAGTTTGCTGAAAATGAAATGGGAGATAAAATGAAACAAATGTGTAATTTTACTCTAAGGCCCTGTTCACTCCCTGTAACACCTCACAGTCAGAACTTTTAAGAAGCACATATGGTAGTGTTGGACTTTAAAATCTTATGTTAGCATTCTGCAAGGCACTTCCGTACACTCAATTCACTGAATGTCTGCTGTTGTGTCACCTGCTGGGCCAGGTGCTAAGAGTATGCCAAGATGAGTAGGACATTGATCCTACCTCAGTGGGCTTTCAGTGCAGGTGGGGCCATTAAAATCAAAATCATCAAGACATATTTATTGATTTTATACTCTGTGTCAGGCACTTTGAAGTTTATACCAGGTATTCAAGATTCAAAGAGGTGGAAATAGTGCCATCAGGAGGGGATCAGGAAAGCCTTTATGGGGAAGATGGTGCCCGAGGTGTCTTAAAAGACGAAATAGTGTTCCCCTTGGAAGAGAAGGGTAGGAGGACATTTTAGATTGGGCAAGGAGAGAAATATGGCAACATGGGACGCCATGCATGGTGCTTCTTGTTTATTTAATTTTCACAACTGTAAGAATGAATTCCTTCTGTGAAGGAAAGAATTACACGCAGTTTTTTTTTTTTTTTTTTTTCCAAGACAAGAAAATTGAGGCTCAGAGAGATTAGTTCATTTTTCCAAAGACTCATACTAGCCAGTGGCAGAGCGAAAGTCATTCCTGGTCAGCCTCGTTTTAAGGTCCATATTATTCCTGTCATGATGCTGTTTTTGTCCTTGTTTTGAGTAATAACCTCTTCCAAACTTCTGACAACTTTTTAGTGTCCTGTGACAGCTGCATTCTTGGTTATTTTCTCATAAGGAACTCCCAACTGGTTTTTCTGTGATGTTTGTGATACTTTGCTGGGACAGACTTTACATTGCCTGGGTCGACACTGTTTGGGAAACTCTACCGTTGTGGCCCATCCTTTATTGTGCTTTTCTAAATGGGTAAGTTACTGTTTAGAGTATGCCAAAGCGGCCTGGACACCACGGGAGAAAGTTGTCTGCTGAAGGGTATTCACTTGAGTTCCATTGACTGAGACATTTCTCGTTTAAAAAAAAAAATTGTTTGTGTGTGTTTTTAAGTAATCCATAACACGAGAGCCTTTTGTGGTAATGAGACCCAGATTTCCTTCTGTGTCTGTATTCCTTTATGCAGGCATGATTTCTTGGAAAGGAGAGACCATATGTCAAACATGTCTCATTGAGAACATGGAATGATTCCATAGATGCTGTGGCAGTGATTAGAGTCTTAAATATTTTGTCCTGTCTGGATCAGTGAGTGCTTGGTTCCTTAACAAATCAGCTGCCTCAGTGATTGGGAAGGCAGGATGGTAAGAGCTTTTAGATCACTTATTGTACTTGGATGCATTTGAATATTAATATAGTTTGTCCAACATATAAGTTAAAGGGGCGTCTGAAGCAATTTATACTATTGTCGTGGCCATTGTGGTTTGATGGTGTTTACTATCACAAAAATTACACAAAACTGCTGCTCTAAATAATGACTTACATTTGACAAACAAATCAGAAATGATTATGAGGCAACTGCAGATTTTTGTTTTGTTTTTAAGCCCCTGAAAACATCATTTAAATTAAGATCTTTTTCACACACCTGACTCCTACAGTTTATTCCTGTTCTCTCTGAATCCTTCCATTCCCCCTCCCGACTCCTTCTCCCCAGCAAGCCTATCATCTGTAACCTTTCTAACCCCGAGAGCAGCATAAGGAACACAAACCTCTGCTCTGCATTAGGTGTTAGGGACGTCATTAATGCTTACTGGAAAAGCACACCCCAGAGAGCCAGGTTTTGGCTTTGGCAGGTAAAAAGTCTTTTAGATCTTGGAATGCTGGAAACCTTAAACCTTTTGGTTTTTTAGCTAAAGTGATTGGCAACAGAAAGTGACATCTGAGGTTCGTGGCCAGCAATAGCCATAATTAACCACATGAGCTCACATTTTCCCACTGGAGGTTCAGTGGTCTTGGGGTGATGAAAGTGACTTCCCTACCAGGAGGTGGTTTTCCTTTTGAGGGTATTGGAATACCCCTGGGCCCTGTAATGCCTCACCCGTGGTCCTTTTAAAATGCTTTTTAATATAAAGCTTCAATATTGGAAATCCAACACCATGGCGTTTAACAGTGAGGTTGTGAGTGAGCACTGTGACCTGGAATGGAAACAACCTAGGGTTTTTAATAGGCGGAGCGGGGAGGCTTGTGGTGGAAACAATGGTGAGTGTGAATAACCAGAATCAAAGCTGATTTCCAATTTTATCGAGTTTTCGGCTTTTGCTGTTTCTTTTTGATTTGCATGCGTGGGCTTCTCATAGAGATGCTTTTTATCTTTAAATTTAAGCAGAACTGTTTTGATCCTTGAAGACAGGTGATGTTAGAAGACTAGTCTTTGTTCTTTTAATGGGTATGTGGCTGTGGTCTCAAAATTTGCAAACGCAACTCCTTAGCATTAACCTTGCAGTAATATGGAAAAATGTAGATGCTGGTGTGTTCAGCACTGGATAGGTTTTTTTAAGCATTCATAGTTTGCATTTATCCTGTTTGGAAGGCTGATTAAGAGGCCTGCTGCTGCTTTCTAGAAGTTTGCAAATTCTTTTCTGTCTGGCCTCATAAGAAAGGAAAAGCTTACTGTAAAGCACATATAACAAAGTCCAAACTTAGTGTAGTATTATACGCCCTTCCTGTAAGTTGTCTACTTCCTCATCTCTCACTTCAGAAGTAAGTTCTTAAGGACCGAGTCCTTTTACTGATAAGAATATTTTAAATTTGATAAGCCCTACTCTTTACAGAAAGCAGGGGGCACAGGGTTCTGTGACTTCTGGTAGAATTCAGTGTCCTCGCTGTGACTCCAGGGATAGATACTTTAAGGGCAGGGGGGTATATACAATTCTCTCTCTTATTTTATCACTCATGGAATTTACAGAGTCACAGAGACTCTGATCAAGTCACTTACACAGTCTGAATTCCATTTTTTTCTCACCTCTAAATTGATAGCATCAGATTCAGTGATTTCTGAGGTTCCTCCTAGCTGTAAGGTTATATGATGATTAAATTGTAATGTGGTGAATTTACAATGTAGTGTGATGTGAGTTTAGTCTCTAAGGTACTGTGGCGTACATAATTCAACAGAAGTGAAGGGTTACGGGACTCAAAGTACTTGTGTGGGCCTGGGGCAAGAGGGCATGGTCTCTGAGAACAGTTAGGATTCCGGTTGGTCAGGGCATGGCAGAGCAGTCAGCTGACATGAATGCTGGTGCATTTTTTTTCATCAGTTTGATTTGAGAGAACATCACATTGTAGTCCATTCTCAGTCAAGCACTTTACAAGTCACCGAGAACTCTGTTCTATGCCCTTACGAGAGAAGTTGTAGGAAACTAAGGTGATATGTGTGTGTCATAAGCTTGGTACATTCTAGGTTCCCAAGTTAAATGTCATATGGTCCACAGTGACCTTCTGAGACCATATGGTGGAGTGCTTAAAGACCGAGACACTGGTGTCAGGCCAGCCTGTATTGTGTTACTGTATGACTTCAGACAGGTGCCTTAACTTCTCTGACCCTTAGATTCTTCATCTGTGAAACGAGCGAAATAGCATATAAAAAAGTACCCAGTTTCGTAATTGTTGATGAATTAACGACTGTAATAAATGAAGTACTGTGGTTAATTCCTTGCAGAAGAAAGTACACAATGAAAGTTTATAGTATAGTCAAAGAGAAACCAAGAATCTGCTATGATAGTCAGTGGTGGAGAATGAGCTGAAGAATAGATGACTATAGTGGCATTCCTGCAACAGGAAGATAGTACTTAGATAACTAAGTATAAAAAGAATGTGAAAAATACTACTAATAATTTAAGTTAAAGATACCCTTAGAAATCAGGCCAAGGTCATCTCAATTATTTTAGCCCTTCTCTAGCCAGAGATATTCTAGGTTATGTGTTAAATCTTTTAGAATATGTGTGGGTGGGTGTGTATTGGCGTGAACTTTTAAAAGTATTTTGGAAGACTATATGCCAAACAGTTACTTTTTTCTTCCTCCTGGAGCAAACTTAAAACATTTTATTACTGTTTTCTGAATACCTGATGATTATTATCCCTGGTAGGTAGTAGCAGAAGTCTAGATGGTGAGTTAAAACTGTTGGGGCACCTGGGTGGCTCAGTCATTTGGACATCTGACTTTGGCTCAGCTCATGATCTCACGGTTCATGGGTTTGAGCCCCGCATTGGGCTCTGTCCTGACAGCTTGCTGAGAGCCTGGAGCCTGCTTCGGATTCTGTGTCTCCTTCTCTCTCTGTCCTCCCGCCCCCTGTCTCATGCTCTGTCTCTCTGTCTCTCAAAAATAAATAAATATTTTAAAAATGTAATTATCTGTGACTTCTTTTTTTTAAGTTTATTTATTTTCTTTTGAGAGAGAGAGCATGCATGTGCACGATGTGGGGAGGGAAGGGCAGAGAGAGAGGTGGAGAGAGAGGATCCCAAGCAATCTCTGCACTTTCAGTGCAGAGCCCTATGCGAGGCTCAAACTCACAAACCATGAGATCATGACCTAAGCTGAAAACAAGAATCCGGCACTTAACTGGCTGGGCCATCCAGGCGCCCTTGTCTGTGACTTCTTTAAAAATAGTTGCTTATGTTTGACTGTAGGGTACACACATTTTTCCTCCAACAGTTACTTCCACCTAAATTGCATAATAAACTGTGGTTTTTGGCCTTTTATTTTCCTGTTTAAAATATTTTTCCTCCCTATCCATCCTGTTTCAAACTTCACAGTCTTATTTATGCAACACTGTCTTGTAGATAGTGAGAAAATACCCCAAAAGGATGCATTGTGCCATTTCACTTCACCTTAGTTAGACTTAATGATTGGTACAATAGTACAACAGCACAACTATGTTGCTTATAAAGTTAATGAATACGATGTGTAATTCTCATATAGTGCAATGGGATTGAACCTCTGAAACTAATTTTCACATCATGTAACAGACCAAGTATTATTTCTGTCTTTAAAAATGCCAGGAAAAGTAATGGATATTTGAGTGTATTAAGAACTCTTAGGATAAACATGAAATGTCAATTTCATCACAACAATTATTGAGTAGTAGTTTTAAATATAAATAAAATTTCAAGTCTTGTTAATATGTTTAGATTTTAATAAAATTCATATAATTTAGATGTGATTAATGTTTTAATTACCAGTTATTTCTTAAAATCTCTTGAAATTGATTTATTATGATCTTATAGCTACATTTATAAGGTAAATAGTTATTTTCTTTTCCTCTGCTTTTGAATTTACAGCAAAAGATGATGGAAGCATTGCTGTTGCCCTTGGTTACACTGCACATTTGGTCTCCATGATTTCCTTTTTCCTTCAAGTGCCCCTAAGATACCCTATAATTCATAAGGGATCTAGATCAACAATCAAAGATAATATCAATGACAAACTGACTGAAAAGGAAAGAGAGTAAGTATCTTTCTGTATACTTTTAATATAAGCCAGTTTGAAACATGGAATATATTACAAATATAAAATGTGACCCAGATTATAGTGATTTTTTTGTATATCCTTTGTAAAGTGCTTCATTTAAAAAATACTGTTTTTATATTTGAGAGAGACGGACAGACAGAGACCAAGCATGAGCATGGGAGGGGCAGAAATAGAGGGAGACACAGAATCTGAAGCAGGCTCTAGGCTCTGAGCTGTCAGCAGCACAGAGCCTGATGCAGGGCTTGAACTCATGAGCAGTGAGATCATGACCTGAGCCAAAGTTGGACACTTAACCAACTGAGCCACGCAGGTGCCCCAGTGCTTCATTTCTTTTAAATAGAATGTGGTTATTCATTTAGATTATACTAAGTCCTACACTTCTTAGAATTGCTAATTTTAATTTTAATTGCAAGATTGACTCATTTAATTTGCTTTTGTGAGAACAAGTATTATATACTCTGCATATACTTATGTAGTACCTGTTGCTTGCTAGTCAACAAGTGAAATGATTAAAGATTTGTCAGACAAGCAAGAAGAGCATAAGAGACTCAGCAGCAGGTTGTACATGTCTGAAAAGTGGATTAGTGAACTGGAAGTAGGTCAATAGAAAATATCCTACAAAAGCACGAAGGGAAAAAACGATGGATTATATAGAAAAGTGCTTGACTGACGTAGGACCCAGTAAAAAGGGACAAAAAGTACATATACATACAATACATATACATATAATTGGGGTCACAGAGTGGGAGAAGAAAGCACAGATGGTAATAAATGCAATGTTTAAGAGGTAATGACAGAAGTTTTCAAATTTGACAAAACATATCAAGTATAAATTCTAGAAACATTAACTGCAACTCATAAGTACAAAGCAAATATACTTAGGGAAATTATGTTAAAACAGCTGAAAACCAAAGACAAAGTGAAAATATTAAAAGTAACTAGTAATAAAAGACATATTAGCATCAAAAGAGCAACAATAAGACTGAAAGCAAATTTCTCAGAATCTTTAGGAACCATAAAAGTGATGCAAAGACATTTTAAAAGTGCTATAAAAGAAGGTCGCATGAGTGGCTCAGTTGGTTAGGCATCTGACTTTGGCTCTGGTCATGATCTCATTGCTCAAGGGTTCAAGCCCTGCATTGGGCTCTGTGCTGACAGTTCAGAGCCTGGAGCCTACTTCAGATTCTGTGCCTCTCTCTCTTTCTCTGTCCCTCCCCTGCTCGTGTTCTTTGTGTTCTCTCTCTCTCTCTCTCTCAGAAATAAATAATAAAAATTGTTTAAAAATTTTTTAAGTACTGTAAAACAATAATGCCAGCTTAGAATTCTATAGTTGGTGAATATATCCTTCAAAAATAAAGGCAAAATAAAAGACGTTGAGAAAATGTATCCCAACAGCCTGTGCTAAGGGAAATATAGGTACTAAAGTCAGAATAAAAATAAACATAGCACAGAAACATGGAAATGTGGGAAAGAACAAAGACAATAGAAAGGGTAAGTGTGAGTATATCTAAATTAATTTTGACTACAAAACAAATAGTGTCATAAAATATGAAATACATACATATAAAATATATGTGGAATTATGCATGACTAACACAAAAGTTGGGAAGTGGAAATGGAGTTAAAGTTTTCTAAAATTTTAAAGTAGGGTAAAGATCCTACTTTATAGGGGCATCTGGGTGGCTCAGTCGGTTAAGCGTCCGACTTCAGCTCAGGTCATGATCTCATGGATCGTGAGTTTGAGCCCTGTGTCAGGCTTTCTGCTGACAGCTCGGAGCCTGGAGCCTGCTTTAGATTCTGTGTCTCCCTCTCTCTCTGCCCCTTTCCCGCTCATACTCTGCCTCTCCTTCAAAAATAAGTAAACATTTAAAAAAAAAGTTTATTAAAAAAAGATCCTACATTTAGAGGGCTAAAAAATCAAGGATGCATGTCATAATCTCATAACCACTAAAAGAATTGTTTTGTACAGGCAAATAATTAATAGAGGATACAGGTAGAAAATTTTTTAAATACAGTACTTGATTAATCCAAAACAGGGCAAGAAAAGAAAGGAAAATGAAACTTAAACAAGTGGAACAAACAGAAGACAGATAGTAAATTTGTTCTTATGAACCTGAACTTAAATTCTACAATTACAATAAATGTTACTTATGTGCTACTTAAAAATAAAGATTGTCAGGCTGAATAAAAAAGCTACACTTATCCTGCTTGTAAGACATACCTCAACTATAAGGACATAGAAATATTGAAGATAGAAGAGTAAATAAAGACATATTATATAAATATTATCCATATGACAGCTAAGCTATGACTAGTATCAGACAAAATGAAGTTTAAGGCAATTTAAATAAGTGAGATATTTTATTTTAATACTGTCAGTTACACACACACACACACACACACACACACACACACACACATCCCTAAAAGCATGATTTCAAACATATAGACAGAAATTCACAGAATTTCAAGGAAATCCACAATTATAACAGAGGACTTTATATTTCTTTTTATTAATTATTAAGGAAGCAGATAAAACAGTCAGAATCTAAAAGACTTGCTGGTGCAATAAACTAGACTTTAGTTACAGCTGAAGAATATTGTACCAACAGCTATAAGATATATTCTTTTTTAGATATATGTGAAACATTCACCAAAATTGATTATGCTGGGCCTCAACAAATTTCAAGAGATTTAAATAATTTACAGTATGTTTACTGACCACAGTGGAATTTACTAGAAATCAATAATAAAATCCCCAAATGTATGGATGTTAAAAACAGTGTATTTATGGGTATCTGTGTGGCTCAGTTGGTTGAGCGTCCAACTTTGGCTCAGGTCATGATCTTGCAGTTCATGAGTTCAATGCCTGCATCAGGCTCTGTGCTGACAGCCCAGATTCTGGAGCCTTCTTCAGATTCTGTGTCTCCCTCTCTTTCTGGCCCTCCCCTGCTTGTACTTGTTCACACGTGCACTCTCCCTTTCTATCTCAAAAATAAACATTAAAAAATGTTAAAAAAAAAATAACTGCATACTTCTGTAAAATGTATAGGTCAAAAAAGAACCTATAAAGGAAGTTTGAAATTATTTTTTAACTCAACAATAACAGAATATCGCATATGAAAGCTTGTAAGGTGCAGCTAAATCTGTGCCTAGAGGGAAGTTTATTTCCTTAAATGGGTGTAGTAGAAAAAAAGAAAGATTTACAAATCAGTCATTTAAGTCTCCTAAGTCTCATGATAGCCCTAGAGAAGGAAGTGTTCATTGAGATCTACAAAAGTTGAAAGAAGAAAAGAATAAAGGTAAGAGCAGAAATTAAATGGACAGTTGAACAACAAGGAAGAAAAATACAGGCAGAAGTTCTAGCCCTTGAAACAACTGGGAAATGCATAAGCCCTTAGCAGAACTTATTCAGAAAGAGGAGACAGCAAAACAACTAGTATAAGGGGAAAAAAAAGATGTCACTGTAGATATATGGACATTAAAAGATAAGATGATCTTATAAACAACTTTTTGCTTATCAACATGAAATTCAAATGCAATTGGCTACATTTCTAGAAAAACACAACTTTCCAAAACTCATATATGAATGATTGGAGTTTAGAAAACACTGTACTTGGCTAAAGGGAAGTGGATATAGATGATTCTAGGTAAGTTATTCTCAGCACTGGCTATGCATTATTGTCGTCTGGGGAGCCTTTAAGAATGAACTCCTGACCCCCAGATTTCTGGCTTCTTCCCCAGAAATTCTGATTTAGTTAATAGGGCCCAGACATGAAGTATTTTTTTTTAACCTCCTGAAAGTGATTTTAATGTGCAGTCAGGGTTGAGAACGACTGTTCTAGATTGGGAGACTTTTGTGTTCACAGACATGAAGAAATGAAATAGCCTCCACTGTATTCAGGAAACTGCAAGAAGAGAGGCAGAAAAGATTGGCACCACATGGAAGAATTTAATATTATATCTGGTAAATTTGGAAGAATTTAATATTATATCTGGTAAATCAACGATCCTAAGTAGAGGGCAGGGAATACCTGTATAGTTTAAATCAGTGCCTTTTTTTTGAAAAAACAATTTTTTAATCTTTAATTTTTTTATATATATTTACAGAGGGAGAGAAAGTAGAAGTGGGGGAAGGGACAGAGGGAGAGAATCTTAAGCAGGCTCCACACTCAGCACAGAACCCAGTTCCGGGCTTGGTCCCATGACCCTGGGATCATGACCTGAGCTGAAATCAGGAGTCGGACATTCAACTAATAGAGCCACCCAGGCCCTTTATTGTATTTTTAATTATTTTTATTGAAGTATAACTGACATAACAGTGTTATGTAAGTTTCAGGTGTATAGTATAATGATTCAACAATTCCGTACATTTCTCAGTGCTCAACATGAATATGCTCTTAATCCCCTTTATGTATTTAGCCCTTCCTTTACCTCCCCTCTCACAGCAACTGCCAGTTTGTTCTCTGTATTTAAGAGTCTATTTTTTGTTTGTCTCTTTTTCTTTGTTTGTTAATTTGTTTCTTAAATTCCACGTATGAGTAAAATCATACAGTATTTGTCTTTCTCTGACTGATGTATTTCACTTAACACTGTACCCTATAGGCCCATTCATGTTGCAAATGGCAAGATCTCATTCTTTTTTACAGCTGAGTAATATTCCGTTGTACATATATATACCACATCTTCTTTATCCCTTCATCTACCAATGGACACTTGGGTTGCTTCCATAACTTAGGTATTATAAATAATGCTGCAGTAAACACAGGTGTACATATATCTCTCAAATTGATATTTTTGTTTTCTTTGGGTAAACATCCAGTGGTAGGATTGCTAGATCATATGATATTTCTATTTTTGTTTTGAGTAACCTCCATACTGTTTTCCATAGTGGCTTTACCAATTTGCATTCCCACCAACAGTGCATGAGGGTTCCTTATTCTCCATAACCTCACCAACACTTATTTCTTATGTTT